TGCTCTGGGAGACAGTGAGTCACTTTTTCCTTCACTGCCCTTTTCCAGATATGACCTCTACTCCACCAATACCCTAAGCCAGTGTTTCCCAACCTTTTTTGGGCAAAGGCACACTTGTTTCATGAAAAAAATCTCGAGGCACACCACCATTAGAAAATGTTAAAAAATTTAACTCTGTGCCTATATTGACTACCATATTTTTCGCCCCATAGGACGCACCGCCCCATAAGACGCACCTAATTTTTTGGGGGGAGAATAAAGAAAAAAAAATTTTCCCCTCCCCAGGCACGGGGCAGGCGCGGGGGAAACCCAAGCTTCCCCCGACCCCAGCCCCCAGAACAGCCTGATATCCGCAAGCCTAGGGAGCCACACTGGTCTCCCCAGGCTTGCGGAGAGGTGCGTGAAGCCCGGGGGCGCTCTTCAGCGCGCACCAGGCTTCGGGATGCAGGCAGCTCTGCACTACCTCCAGAGCCCCGTGCGGCTTCGCGCTGGGATCCAGGGGGTGGCACGGAGCTGCAAGAAGCCCTGGAGCGCAGGCAGCTTCGCACCACCCTGCGCAGCCCCGCGCGGCTTCGTGCCGGGATGGGGGGGGGTGGCGCGGAGCTGCAAGAAGCCCTGGAGCGCAGGCAGCTCCGTGCCACCCTCCGCAGCCCCGCGCGGCTTCGCACCGGGATCCGGAGGTGGCGCGGAGCTGCAAGAAGCCTGGAGCGCGGGCAGCTCCGCGCCACCCTCCGCAGCCTCCTACGGAGGGCGCCCCGTGCTCCGCGCTGCTGGCTGCCGCCCGCAAGCCGTGCACGCGGGGGGGAGTTCCCCTGGCGCGCAAGGCTTGCGGACAGCTGCGCGAAGAACGGGGCGTCCTCCGAAGGACGCCCCGCGTTGCAGGCTGCCGCCGCAAGCCTTGCGCGCGCGGGGGGGAGTTCCCCCAGGCGCCCAAGGCTTGCGGACAGCTGGCGGCACGCCGCAAAAGGCCGGGCGGCAGCGCTGCAGCGCGGAAGCGCGGGGCGCCCTTTGGAGGACGCCCCGTGCTTCGCGCAGCTGTCCGCAAGCCTTGGGCGCCTGGGGAACTCCCCCCCCGGCGCGCAAGGCTTGCGGCGCAGCCTGCAGCGCGGGGCGTCCTTCGGAGGACGCCCCGTTCTTCGCGCAGCTGTCCGCAAGCCTTGCGCGCCCAGGGGAACTCCCCCCCCCCGCGTGCACGGCTTGCGGGCGGCAGCCAGCAGCGCGGAGCACGGGGCGCCCTCCGTAGGAGGCTGCGGAGGGTGGCGCGGAGCTGCCCGCGCTCCAGGGCTTCTTGCAGCTCCGCGCCACCCCCGGATCCCGGTGCGAAGCCGCGCGGGGCTGCGGAGGGTGGCACGGAGCTGCCTGCGCTCCAGGGCTTCTTGCAGCTCCGCGCCACCCCCCCCATCCCGGCGCGAAGCCGCGCGGGGCTGCGGAGGGTGGTGCGAAGCTGCCTGCGCTCCAGGGCTTCTTGCAGCTCCGCGCCACCCCCCGGATCCCAGCGCGAAGCCGCACGGGGCTCTGGAGGGTAGTGCAGAGCTGCCTGCATCCCGAAGCCTGGTGCGCGCTGAAGAGCGCCCCCGGGCTTCACGCACCTCTCCGCAAGCCTGGGGAGACCAGTGTGGCTCCCTAGGCTTGCGGATATCAGGCTGTTCTGGGGGCTGGGGTCGGGGGAAGCTTGGGTTTCCCCCGCGCCTGCCCCGTGCCTGGGGAGGGAAAATTTTTTTTTCTTTTTCTCCCCCAAAAAATTAGGTGCGTCTTATGGGGCGGTGCGTCCTATGGGGCGAAAAATATGGTAGTCAATATAGGCACAGAGTTAAATTTTTTAACATTTTTCTAATGGTGGGTGCCTCGAGATTTTTTTCATGAAACAAGTGTGCCTTTGCCCAAAAAAGGTTGGGAAACACTGATCTATGGAGGCAGAGCAAAAGCATCACGCCTAGTAGCTACTGACAGACTTATCTTCCCTGAAAATTATGAGATCATTAGGACTGCTGTTTTCCATGTCTGCTATGTAGCTTCTGTCACATCTATAGCTGGGTACCTCCCAGATGCCAGTCACTGCCAAAAAAAGTTATCAGATTTGTTCAAAAATAATAATATCTGGCTCCAAATGAAAGTATGCATGTAAAACATGTTGGATCTTAGAGGGCAACTTTTCAACAGACTGGATTTAGAACTCAGGTAGTAAAAGAATCTGGATCATTTTGAGTCAAGCGCAAATATTTATCTCTTTGGAGCCGAGGTTATGTCCATAAGACACGGCAGCAGTCATTTAAGAAGAGCCAAAGGCTTTGATATTCAGTTCAGCATCCCGTTCTCATGGTGGCCACCCAAAAGAACGGCATGAGTGTAAAAGCAACTCTCTCCACTTGCGCTCCCCAACCATGCCTCTGGAATTGGAGGTAGTAGAGAGATATAATAGCTAGTAGCCACCGATAGCCTTAACCTCCACGAATTTGTTTAAACTCATTTTAAAGCCATCCAAGTTGGTGACCAGTACTACATATTGCAGTTATGTACTGTGTACAGGGTTGACATATTTCAAGAAGTGGAAATCCAGACAGTTGCTGAGCTTTTGGGCAAAAGCTGAAAAAAAATATGAAATAACAGGAGGTTTTTTAGCTATTTTTAAGGGAAATTGACAAAAACGACACTGCTGACATGGGTTGCCATACGTCCAGATTTTCCTGGACATTTAGCCGATTTCTGCCCAGACACTGCTTCTGGCTTCAGTACTCCGGGTATGTCCGGGAAATTCCAGACATATGGCAACCCTAGTACTGTGTAAAGAAGTTTCTCCTTTTGTCAGTCCTGAATCTTCCTCCAAAAGATAACCCTGGGTTGTGCAGTGGTACCTTGGTTTGCAACCGTTTTGGATTACAACCATTTTGGATTACAAACACATCAAACCTGGAAGTGCATGGCCCCCTTTTTTTGGATTGCAACCCATTTTTTTTTTGAGGCCCCATTGGCGAAAGCGCGCCTTGGGTTACAACCTGTTTTGGTTTACAACCGGACCTCCGGAATGGATTATGGTTGTAAACCAAGGCACCACTGTAGTATGATTGGAGGTGCGGGGGGAGGGGGACTTCCCTTACGTTTCTGAGCACAATTCAAAGTGTTGGTGCTGACCTTTAAAGCCCTAAACGGCCTCGGTCCAGTATATCTGAAGGAGCGTCTCCACCCCCATCGTTCTACCTGGACACTAAGGTCCACTGCCGAGGGCCTTCTGGTGGTTCCCTCACTGTGAGAAGCCAAGTTACAGGGAACCAGGCAGAGGGCCTTCTCGGTAGTGGCGCCCTCCCTGTGGAACACCCTCCCACCAGATGTCAAAGAGAACAACAACTACCAGACTTTAAGAAGACATCTGAAGGCAGCCCTGTTTAGGGAAGCTTTTAATGTTTGACATATTACAGTATTTTAATATTTTGTTGGAAGCCGCCCAGAGTGGCGGGGACAACCCAGTCAGATGGGTGGCATATAAATATCATCATCATCTTTCCTCATAAGGCAGTTGATTCATCCCCGTCATCCTTGTCCTTTTCTGAAACTTTTACAGCTCTACCATATCCTTTTTATGTGTGGTGACCAGAATTGTATATAGTATTCCAAGTACAGTCACACCACAGATTTGTATAACAGCTTTAATATATTGGCAGTTATATTTTCAACCCCTTTCCTAATTATCTCTATCATGGAATTTCACCATTTCTACAGCTGCAAATGATGAACACAATTATGGAATAAAAGAATGAAGCAATTATGTAAGAAAAGTGGGCATGTTCCTTGTGACATCTGACAGAAAAGGTTTATAAGAGATACAAATTAAAATACAAGGGTTAGCAGGAAGGGTAATCTTCCTACCATAAGCTTGCGTCAGTATTTCTGCTTAAATTACTGAGGATTTCAGCTAAGCAATTTTTCATGAAATGCATTTGATAGGATTTTACCAATAGTATTTCCCCCCTCTTTCAACAAGTCAACAACCCAGTTCACACATAATATCACAGCTATTTCTACTCCCCATATCCACAGATGAGTGATCAACCTTCCGGTTCCTAAATAAGCTGATGTTTCTTTGACTGAGGCTGGTTTTCAAATTTGGGGAAAAGGAAAACCTTAAAAAGGAGATAATTTGACTGAAGGGGTATGTCCAACCTGCCAGGTCTTATGTCTTCCCCCCCAAAAAGAGCCATCAGCCATCTGACTTCTCCAAGGCATTTGTAAATATAGCTAAGACAGATAGATGGTATCAGTTTTTCACATGATGATCCATTTTGCACATACTCTGTCCATAACAATAGTTTGTTACATCTGAATTAGGAACTGGCTAAACTATGGTTTGCTGAGAGATTGTGTTTGTTGAACATAACAAAGAAACAGACCGATGACAAAAAAAAAATTGGGAAGGGAAGCTTGTTACAGTTTAGGAATACAGACTTATTGTTCCTATTTCAGTTCAAAGTTTAGGTGAGAACAATCCCATTAAAGAAGATATCTGTTATTCAAAATTATTGCATGCCATATTGACTTGTCTCTTTCCCACTCTTTATTTTTTTGGTGCTGAGATAGTTGAAGAGTGCTTCATCTTGCAAACGTTGACTTAGATCCTAAGGTTCTGCTGGCGAGAATATTCTGCGAATGGAATTCTGCTAACAATATACTCCCACCATGTGGAAGGTCTGTGTGGCATTCTTTGCTGATATCCCCTTTCCCCTGAAGTCCCTTTGCTTAAAAGAAAAGATCTGCTCTAGAGAGTGGATGAGAGACAAAAAACAAACAAAAACAAACGCCACCCTGTACTCAGGCAAAAACCTATGCTGGAGCCCGATTTCCTCTGCCAGTGGAAAGAGCTCTTCTGTTTATGGAGAGTGAGTTAGGACCCAAGGCTATGCAGTATTGAATTAAATTGCAGGCACTTGCTGTATCATTCAAAACTGACAAGGCCCAAATTTTAAAATGGGGTAGGGTAGTGGGAAATGGTAACAGTATTCCATACGTACCAATATTAGCAATATGCATGAGTCCAATTTTTCTTCTGTCGGTGCAGAACTATTGTCGCCTTCAAGCTCTTCCTCTTCCTGACTCCCATCTATGCTATCTGCCATGTGCTCGTTGTCTCCTGGCTCTGCGGTGAGATCATTTGTTCTTTCAGATGACTCTCCTTGCTGCTGTTCCATGTTTTCAAGCAGACCCTCTTCCTGGCTCTCATCTATATGATCAGCAACATGCACATTGTCTCCTGGCACTCTGGTGTGATCATCTGTTCTTTCAGATGACTCACCTTGTTGCTGTCCCATGTTTCCAAGAGAGACTCCTTCCTGGCTCTCATCAATATGATCAGCAATCTGCACATTTGTCTCCTGGCTCTCCAGTGTTATCATCTGTTCTTTCAGGTGACTTCACCTTGCTGCTCTTCCATGTTTTCAAGGAGACCCTCTTCCTTGCCCCCATCTATATGATCAGCAATCTGCACATTGTCTCCTGGCTCTCCAGTGTTATCATCTGTTCTTTCAGGTGACTCACCTTGCTGCTCTTCCATGTTTTCAAGGAGACCCTCTTCCTTGCCCCCATCTATGTGATCAGCAATCTGAACATTGTCCCCTGGCTCTCTGGCATGATCATCTGTTCTTTCAAGTGATTCTTCTTGCTGCTGTTCCTTGCTTTCAAGCAGATTCTCTTCCTGAATCACATCCTTATTATTGGCAACCTGCTCATTGTTTTCTGACTCTACTGTGCTGCTTTCCTTTTTGCCGTTGGTTCCTCCAAGTGGCTCCTCTGGCTGCTGTTCTGTGACACTGCCCCTCTCTTTCTTAGTTATAAGCAGAGCCACTCCCTGTTCTGCGTCACCTTTTTTCTTTGCTATGAATATCCTTTTAGGCATCTCCTCCTCGCTCTGTTGTCCGACGTTCTGTTCCTCTTCCTCAGTTACCTTTTCAAGCATTTTCTCCTCCTCTTCTTCAGGTTGGCTTTCCTTTTCGTTGCTTATATTTTCTATTATACAGGTGGCAGCTGTACAACTGCTCCAGCAGACTCTGGAAACTTCGTTTCTCCCAAGCCGCAAAAGCCTGTCCATACGCCAGAAAGACTTCGCATATGCTCTGTGAATCCATTCATAATCACCTGGCCAAGACTTCTTGCCTCTGGCACCCTTCTGAGTGAAAAGTCTCTCCCTCACTATGTAATCTGCCCTGAAGACGGTGCAGAAGGAATCTATGAATTCTTTCCCCAGCTTCACTCACTTGGTAGGACGGATCTTCGTGAGAAAGCTGGTCAAGGAGTAAAACGGGAAGTTCCACGGACGTCGTCTCTGCAGCAGAGATTCCATCGCTTCCATCAAAAACCCCAAGAAAGGACGTACCTGCCCTGTTCCCATAATTGTCTAACACGACAAATACGTCTTCCAAGTTTTCATGCCAACGAGCATTTTTGTCTTGACATATTGCGATGGCTTTTATCAGTGGATTGGTAACTTCTTCAACGTGCACAGAACTTTGAGCAATACTACAATGCAAAAATATGGAGTTGGCTTCATGCTTTCTTTAAGGAGATCAAATGAACAGCCAATCTTCTCCGTCTTTCGTTCAACATACTTAGGAGTCTTATATTTTTTCATTTTTAAAAGCAGGCGTTTTCTCTGAAGAACTATTTTATTTACATCTATTGATTCCACCCATGGCCGGTGATAATCCAGTACTGCCAGAGCCTGGTGGACTTTTTTATGGAAAAGAATTTCGCTAATGTGTACCGTTTGTTGGCATATGGAGCAAAGTACTGTAATATCGAGTTTGTCAACTTTCTTGAAGTCAATCTTAACTACCTTTGTGGGATCTTCTTCAGATTTGTCAGATTTACATTGTGGAGATCCTTTTTCCCACGACATTCTATAAAAACAAAGAAAAGTAAAATGTGTTTTCAACTATCCTTCTCAAAACAAAACCAAGAAATACTCATAAAAGAACCTTGCAATTAGCTCTACATGCCAAATGGGGCTTTAGGATTGCGTTCTTCTGATAGCCTGCATACAATATGATCAACTGCTTCTCAAAGAGTTTTAAAGCCGTCTGATATGGAATGCTGGTAGAGAGGAAATATTTTTTTCCTTTTTAATTCTATTGCTTTGTTAATGAAAAAAAAACAGGTGCAAACATAAGAAAAAGAAAAATATTTTTAAAAAATCTTTTAAAAATTAAACCATAGTCACAGCCTGGAAAGACAGCTCCAAAGGGATAATAAAATATTAACTCCTACAAAGATTTCCTTTACAAACAATAAAGATTTATTTAAAAAAATAAAAGTATTCTCCAGCTGGGAGTTCCATCATTATTGAGAATAAAGGTTCTATATAGACTTAAATGATCGAGACATTTGCACATAGTGGCAGCACTGAGTGATCATGTGCCTCGATATTTGTGTAAGAAATAAAATCGTGCCATACTGTATATATGTGGCTTACTTGGACGTAAGCCCTGTTGAGTTCAATGGGACTTCTAACAAATTGCAGCCTATGCACACATATATAGGAGTACTATTTCATGAACAGCTGGGACTTTTTCAGAATAGATATCAATTTTAAGTTTTAATTCATACCCCTTTATGAGCAAATGAGAGATTAATCATATGCTTGCTACCTACACTATATAGTATATACTGAATATCTATTTCTACAATGCATAGTTTCCATGTTAGGAAAATTAGGAAATATGATCAGTATTACCAAAGAGAACTGAAATATACTCAGAGTCGAGTGTGAATTTCATGCTCTTTATTCAGCTCATAGTAGCAATGAATGAAACTTTCCCCAAAACGTCTAGCTATATATACATTATTTACAGAATGGGCCCCGCGTGATTGGCTAATTCCGGGCTGCTCCTGCAGGCCAATCAGGTCGCTGATTCACTTCCATCTGGAGCTGGATTGGGTGGCTCTTGGACCAATCAGACTGCTGCATTCTGGATACTATTGTTCTAAGATTCAGCTCAGTACATGACAAGAACCTAACTCTGAACAAAGTAGGCTGCGTGCAATTCTACTGTCAACAAAACTGGAAACAAGAAAGGGTTTTCAGTGTGTATAGATGATCAAGAGCAGCACCATGCCAGTTTTGTCAGGGCCTGTTTAGCCTTAAAATAGCTGCCCAATCATGGTGAGAGTTAGCCAGTACCTGTTTGGACTGAAATCAGAACGCCCTTCATCTTTAGAGATGAAGACAAGAGAGGAAGTTAGTTGTTTTACTGCAGGACACTTTTTTGGGCAAAGTTGTTGAGTTTTTCTTTTTTCTTTTCTTTTTTTGCAAAACCTCTGGAAAAAATTAAATTTTCCAACATGGGTTGCCATATGCCCGGGCAACACCGTAGAGTGTCCTCCCTGAGGTACCACTGTATTATTTTTCCCCTGTAGTAAGCCGCCTGGAGCATGATTTGAACTGTGCAAAGGTGGCATACAAATAAAATTACAGTGGTACCTCGGGTTAAGTACTTAATTCGTTCCGGAGGTCTGTTCTTAACCTGAAACTGTTCTTAACCTGAAGCACCACTTTAGCTAATGGGGCCTCCTGCTGCCGCCGCGCCACCAGAGCATGATTTCTGTTCTCATCCTGAAGCAAAGTTCTTAACCCGAGGTACTATTTCTGGGTTAGCAGAGTCTATAACTTGAAGCGTATGTAACCTGAAGTGTATGTAACCCGAGGTACCACTGTATGTATGTATGTGGCTGTCATACACCCATAATTTCCCAGACATAGTGTTGATTATTTGGCAATCCCACCCCCCAAAAAAGATAAACAACTTTTGTGTCTGAATTTTCACTTTTTGAAATATGGCAACCCTATGTATTTACTGTTCACATTTAAAAATAAATAAATGATGGGGAGAGATATGCTCAGTGGGGGTGCACAATTTCAAATGAAAAACATCTGTAAAGTTGTGGGGCACTGCTGTCTTTATAGTGTAACAGGGCATATTTACATGGTGTGTCAACAGGGCTATTTCCCCAGAATAAATTAGAGTCGTCGTCCCCCCCAAACAAAGTGACTGGCAATGGGGGGGGGAGCTAACTTTTCTGTAACTGAACTGAGCAGAGCTCCTTTGTAAAGATTTGCAAGAAGAGCAGAACAATAACAATGATAAAGTTGCCCTATCCTTTAAGCTTAAGATACTGTACAACCATATGAAGTTTTTGAATTATTTTTGTTTCAGATATAGAAAGATTTTAGTAACTCCAAATACGATAATATTTGATGCAATCTCAGGGCCTTTCCTTTCAGCAGGAGAAGGAACCTTGTTAAGCTGTGGGTGAACATATCAAACGACACAGCAATTCTTCAAACAGCTCTTGTTTATTCACAGGCCAGAACTGAACTGAACTGAAGGATTCAGCCAACCTGCTTATATATAGAGCTCCACTACAACGCAACTGTAACAATTTTCTGTAACTATCCAATCACTGAACGTCACTTTCAATCCCTTATTTGCATATGTGGACCTGAGTGAAAACTATCTACAGTATCCGCCTGCTGGCCCAGGGTGAGAACTTCAGTACATAACAAACCTCACACAGAATAAAAATGCCAGGCAGAGGCTGTTTAAAGGCTCCTTCACATTAGTAACTGATCTCCATAGTCGGCTGCTTCATGGTCTATGGACTCCACATCTGGATAATTTCCTTGATGGCCACTTGGTCAGCAACTGAGGACAGAACATGGAATATGTACTTACTTGTCTGATGAATTGGGAAATAGTTCACCTCAGGAAGCGTAGAAACTAGGGCTGTAACCAAATGAAGGAAATATTAATGAATCAATTGAATTTGCACAAAGCAACATATAAGGGGGTGGGAATATCATACTGAAGGTGTGTGTGGGGGGGAACCATACATTTCTTGTTCTTAGATCATGTGCCTGTATATTGTAGCAGGCTTCATCTTGGAAGATAATTCTCCTGTATGTGAAAGACAAAATGACCTTTTTAAAGTAGTGCTTAATTTTTAAAGTCATCTTAATATATATATTTTTAATGTACTGTCTTTTTAACTGTGACAATTTTTAGTTGAAGGGCTGCCATGTGGAAGACAGAGAAAGTTTGTTTTCTGCTGCTTCCAGAAGGTAGGACTCGACCAATGGAGCCAAATGACAAGGAGATTCTGACTAAACTTTAGGAAGAGCTTTCTGCTTGATGGTGGAATGGATTACCTTCAAAGGTGGTGGAGTCTCCTTCCTTGGAGGTTTTTAAACAGAGGTTGGATGGCCATCGGTCAGGGATTCTTTATCTGCGATTCCTGCATTGCAGGGAGTTTGAAAAGGTGACCATTGGGACCCCTTCCAGCTCTACAATTTTATGAAAGCGTTCTTTTTAAAAAAATTAATAGCCTAATTGATTAAATAGTGATGCTCTAACTAGAAGAAATCAAGCGCAAACTATGGGGAACCGAATAAGCAATGAAAGGATGGTTTAAGCTGAGTCTGTATTGACTGATTCAAAATTACCTTCATGAGAAGTGGGGCTTCAAAGCCAGGTATCCCCATACAAGTCCAAAAGTGAGTGTCATTTCCAGATTTTGGAGGAAACGTGGGCAAGACAATCCCCAGGGACCACCCTTCTTCATGAGCTCACCTCCTGAACTGCAAGCAAGTCCAGGGAACTTGAACATCTGGAAACAGTTACTTTTTTAAAAACCTATTTTCTTATGGTTTGTATTGGTCGTTGCCTTTGGGATGAGCCACTTTTTAGCTTAATTAGAAAGGTGCTCCTAAAAAGACTTTTAACGATAGCTCTTCAGTTTCCCTGTTCCACGTACAATGATTTTTCTGATCCTCATTTATGCCTTTGTGCTAAGGTGTCTTCAGACCTCAGTTGATACTGTTTGCTCAGCATGTGCTAAATCACAACTTTGCTTATATTTATTCTTTTTGTTTGTTTGTTTGTTTAAAGTTTTACTCAATGGGAAATGATATACAATGAAATGAAAAGGATGTTTAAAATAACATTTGTAAAAAACCCAGAATCCTTTCTCTTGGGAATTACAGGGATAGAACTACTTAAATCGTATAGAAACTTATTCATATATGCGACTACAGCGGCAAGAATGCTACTTGCCCCAAAATGGAAAGAAGCAGAAGTCCTAGCAAAGGAAGAATGGATACAAAACTTATGGAATATGCAGAAATGGTGAAACTTACCGGGAGAATAAAAAATCAAGATAACAAACTTTTTATAAAAGAATGGA